CACTATTCTAGCCCATAGCTTCTCCTTCTCCAAAGGAAACCTCCACAACCACTTCCCCAGCAGAGTCATATTCCTTCTCCTAATACTCCCAAGCCCCAAACCACCACACGACTTACTCCTGCACACTATTTCCCAGCTAACTCTATGATCCCTCTTCTCTTCTCCCGACTCCCACAAGAAATCTCCCATGAATAATTGCGCAACACGTATTTAATGGTAATCATTCCCAAAGTATATTTAATTGTTCACTCCTCTTTTGTGTTTGGTCGTTGCATATTTTTATTTCATGTATTATTCTCTTGAATTATCATCAGGCCCATGTGTTCTCAATTGGCTCTTGTGTTGAACTAATAATTTTTTTATTAAATGGGTAGTGCTAAAGTATTGATCAATGTCCATAATGTCTAATGATAACATTTTAATTATGGTTTGATTGGTCTTCCACCTCCCCAAAGGGCCAAAAAGATAAAAACAGTCGTGCCAAATTAATTGGGAAATGACATACTTGTAGCTTTGTAGCATATTTAGTTAATGGTTCACATGATCAATTTTCTTTTTATATAGGATACATTACAATGACCCAATTCATTGCTTATTTTCTTTTATGAACCGGCAGCTTTTTAACTAATTGTTCCAATGTTGAGATGTGCTTAACTTTACAAATGTAGTCTTGGCCGCTTGGGTCTATGCAGGTTCACCACCCAACCCACTAACATCCTTCTTGGGATGAAAGTAGATTCTAACCTATGAGAGAGTCCCACCATACATTTAAGTCCACACTTGAATTTCCCTTCTTCCTTTTGATAGTTTATGATTTTTACTTCTAAAATTTTGAAAGGAAATTATAAACTATAAAACTGTGTGAAGGAAAGACATATTGGATGTGTTTAGCATTAACAATTGTGTTTGAAATGGTTTTGAGTAGAAATTGTGCAAATATGAAATTTTTGCATCAAAAACTTGAAACTTAACATAAAGGTCCAAAAATAAATAAATAAATAAACTAGATGTAGAAAGGTCACTAATTCAATCATTTTAACAAATCCCAATCTGACAAAATAATAGAAATGCAAGGAAAAAACATTGATAAAAATAATAGAGGGAATGAAGATGCCAAAATATTGATAAAAAACTAATGTTTTAAAAATCAACTAGAACCACATTTGCCTCCTAATTTAGCAAGTCAACTTATTGTGATATTATAAATTAAATAATAAAAATAAAAAATATAGAAAATGTTGTAATAAAACTTATAGAAAATTTAAGCATGCCTTTAACATTTTTTTATCAGCAAAGAAGAATTTTATTTGAAATTAGAGTTAAAAAGTGTTACAACTTTGTGTATGGGGTTAGAGCTCCCACACTATTACATATTTCTGTCCCTCTTTACATTGCAACCCAAAACAGTTGGTGCCTCAAAGCCCCTTTCCGTCCCTCTTTACATTGCAGCCCAAAACAGTTGGTGCCTCAAAGCCCCCTGTTTAGCAAGATAATCAGCTAGCCCATTTGCACTCCTTCTAACCCATTTAAATTCAGCCTCTACCTCCCTTGCGATCTTTTCCACTTCCCTTATCACTTGTTTGAAAGTCCACGGAGTAGTTCTATTGTTTTTAGCCCAAGAGATCACCTTGGAGTCCCCTTCAACCTCAACATGCCTCATTCCTAGTTACTTAGCTATCTTCAATCCTTGTAACAATGCCATTAACTCAGCTTTTAGAGAGTTGCCCATGCCGATAGGTCCAGAGAACAATGCTACTATTCTCCTTACAGAATTTCTGATTACTCCCCCAATACCTGAATTCCTGGATTTCCAAAGGAGCTTCCATCAAAATTCAGTTTAATCCTGTTACCATTTGGAGGTTTCCATTCCATCATTACTCTCTCTTTTACTCTTGAAGATTGTGGCATTGCGCTACTTCTGTCCAAGATCTTATAATGTCTGTGACTGAGAACTCTTGAAAGATATGTAAGGATCTTATCCAATGAGCTACTTTAACTTTAATTGTGTCGATTACCTCCTTCCTTGTTCTACTCTTATCCAAAAATATTTTGTTATTCCTTTCTTCTCATATTACGCAACAAATAGCTGCCTTTGTAGTTTTCCACATAATCTTCCCTCTTTTCTTTAACAAATATTCATCATATTTAACAAAAATATGCATGGAAAGTAAAATTGTTGTTATTAATGACGGAAATGGCTAAAATACAAAAAAAGGAACAAGAAAATTAATATCTTGTTCATGCCTCATTGACCTGACCAAATAGATTAGTAGTTCAACCAATAAGGTCATCTGGTTATTGACCAAATCAATGGTCTAGGTTAAAATACACTTATAAATTTGCCTGTGAAATGGGTTATCAATTGAATTGTTTGGTTTAGTTGCAAGTTACAAACAGTTACATGAACTACAAAAAGAAAGATATAAAGATTGGTCATTAGATTAAAAGCAACAAATCCATTATTACACCATGCTTCAATTACTTGTATTTGTTACATAGGTAATAGATTTTGACAAAAACATTAAAATTATTATTATTTTTTTATGAATCATTAAAATTATTATTATTATCAGTAGTAGTATTTGAAATTACCATGTGCAACGCACGTCGACATTTACTAGTTATAAATAAAAGTGTCAACTGTTTCATCATGTTTTCCGTTACATATTAACGTGATACAAAGGAGAAAAACCCATCAAACTTGTTTATTATAATTTTTATAATAAAATACTATAAACACAAGGCATATGTGACTTGCGCCTCAGAGGCATCAACATTTCTGGAATATGCCTCAAGGCATTTTGGGGGCGCCTCCTCCAGGCGTATGCCTCCCACGCTTTTTAAAACACTGCTCATAGATACATCCAGAAACAGAATTGTGCAATATGCCACCACTCTCTCTATGTTGCAAACCTTGTCCTCAAACAGTCTTTCGTTCCTCTCCTTCCAAAGACCCCCAACATACTACCAATGGGATGCAACTAAATATCAATCTGGCCTTTTTACTGCCTCTGAACTTTGACCAAGTAGAGAAGATCCACTGGAGTCCCTGGCTGAAAGCCTCCGACTCCAAAATAAAAGATCCATTTCCCTTTTTTTAATATTTAAGATCCATTTCATATTCAAATTAAAGAAAAAGAAAGCTCTTCAAACAAATTCTAAAATAATTGAATCTTTAAATTTCAAAATAGCCATCCAGGCAGGATGGAAGCTTGCAATATTTCAGGAGAATATGTACAGAACAATGGAGAAAATGAAGGCTGGGAAAGAGAAGTACCCAATCAACATGAGACTCAAATGTGGCAGAGCAGGTTGCAGCATCTTCAGCCAGTGCCCACCTCTTCAAAGTCCCATCTCGGCTTCCAGTATATAGATAGTCACAGCCATCAGGTACTGATGACTTCAATATAGCCAAGCAATTTATGCCTGCACAGTGCTGCAAATAGACACATTCCAAAGAACGGTAACACATTTAGCAAGAAAACATGCTTATGTCTACTACAGAGTATACCATAGAAACATAATTGCAATAGCATGCTGTCTCTATTTTTAAGTCTGGGGAAGAAATTCATTATGTGCGGAAGTAAGAAAAACTTCTTCCCAACAGAGGGCAATTAACACCATATGGTCATAGAGAAAATGATAGAAGAATCATGTCCAACTGAATAACAGAGAACGATCAAGTATATACTTATTATGGTAGATAGGGGCCATTGATTGGTGCAAGGTAAAGTCTCAGGCAGATATGCATGAGAATGAGTTCAAATCTGACAGTAACCATTTTGTGTAGAAAATTCCCTAGTTTATGTCCATATCCAGTCCACCACTCCCATGATTGCAGATAATGGGGGCCAACACTCAGTAATGATCCTTAATGCATAAAGGTAGACAAATTTCAAAAAACATCCTCCTTTCTTGACCACCAAAAAAAACAGTGAAGGAACTCTCTACAACTTCCAAGGCTCCAAAAAGAGATCCGAGATATAACAGCAATTAGCAAATAGAAAATTTGACTACACCTTAGTGTCATCAGCATCACTGATCACATATGTTAACCTCTTCTCCTTGCGAGGACGAGTTGAATTGGATGTGTTCCCAGCACTGCCCACACGGTGCATCGCAAAAATCCCTGGAATGAATAAGATACCAACTATAAATATCATAGCTGCTCATCAAGTTTGGTTAAACTCTTGAAACAGGAATGGACTAAGAGCTTTGTGGTTCTATATTTGCCAAACAACAGAAATCACACTGTGCAGGTTTATCTGGTAAATTATTGAACCATCCGATAAACAGAATGGGTAACCCTTGGCCCAGAAACATGGTAAAATGAAGATTTTTTTTATGGTAGACCTATCCATCTTCTATAGGGTTTGATTGGGTAATGTGGTTCATTTAACAGATAAGTTGCATATGAAGAGAAAAATAAGCCCTACTATGAGGGTTTTTTGGAGCCATTTCTAAAAGAATAACACACAGACATAGCTAAAAACTTAAAATTAAAGTAGGTGCGAAAAAATTAAAAGGGGCATAAATCATTTCCTATACCATTGTGCATAATTGACAGAAGAAATAAATGCAAAAATAGATAACAGCAAAATAATATAATAAATGAAAGGAAGTAACTACATAAACAAGAAGAGAGAGATAAATCACTTTCTATAACATTTTACAGTATTATCTGAAAACCTCAAAACTATAAAGTCAAGCCTAACACTAAAGTCAGTTGCTATAACATGCTGGATGGTGCTCCAAACCAAAGTGGGAAGAGAAAAATCAACAATTAAGAAACTTACACAAAAAACGTCATGAAAAATGATAGATAAAAGAGGTAGTGATACTTATTTATTTCTCTTCTTTTTTAATTTCTAGAGCAATCAATTGTTCAATACAATTAATAATTGCCTGGATTGCAATCATGCATTATTCAAACTAATGAAATCTTTCTGTTAGTGATCAAAAATAAATAATTTATTTCTATTACTATTTTGGGGGGCTGATCCCCTTATACAAATATTATAAACTATGAAAGCTATTGCTTATGTAGGGGTTCTTGAGGGGATCTTGAGGATGTAGAGACTTCTAGGGAGGAAGGGGAGAGAATATGGGAGATAATAGTGATTCTTTTTGAGCAGTTGGTAGAGGTGGAATTACATTCCAGGATAGGATCGAAAGAAGGAACTAATTTGGAAAAGGGAAAGGAGATTAGTAAAAGTGATGCTGGAGCTAAAAAAGGCAAAAAGAAAAACTAGAAAAAAGAATTTAAAAAAAAAAGAACAAGAAGTAGCTCAGACAAAAACTCCAAACAAGGTGGAGGGAGAGGCATCTAGAAGAAGAAAAAAGAAACTGAGCAAAGTGGAGAGATTAAGATGTGAAGTAGATTATGAAAGAGGAAGTATAGGGAGGAAGGAAAGAAAGTTGGGTTAAAATAAGGTGAATCTTTGGGTTTTTACCAGTTCTATTGTTCCATGAAGATACTCAACTGGAATGTAAGGGGTCTAGGGAGCTCAAGAAAAAGGAGTGTAATTAGGGAAGTCCTTAGGAAAGAAAAGCCAACCATTGTGTTAATCCAAGAATCAAAATTGCAAAATGTGGATAGAAAATGGACAAGGAATATATGGTCAACTAGAGGATTAAGTTGGGCATTTGCACAATCTTGGAGAGCATCAGGAGGCATCATTACAATTTGGAAGAATGAGGAGCTGGAGTGTACTAAAGAACTGATTGGAAACTTTACAGTTACAATTAAGTTAAGAAGGAAAGTGGATGGATTTGAATGGGCCTTAACCAATGTTTATGGACCTAATTCGTATAAGGAAAGGGGTGAGTTTCGGGAGGAGTTAGCAGCCATCAGGGGCCTTTGGGATGGCCTGTGGTGCTTGGGGGTGATTTTAATGTCATTAGTATCTAAATGAAACCACCATTCCAAACCATAGGATTACCTCTAGCATGAGAAATTTCAACCTTTTTGTGGACTCTTTTGAGTTGAGAGAGCTACCCATATTGTAGGCAAACTACGCGTGGTCCAATTTCCAAGAAGAACCCTTGTGCTGTAAGCTAGATAGATTATTATTCTCTTCAGATTGGGGATCTACTTGGAGAGGATTGGTAGTAAGGGCTCTCCCTAGACCTACCTCAAATCAATCATTGTCCAGTTAGGTTATCCCAAGAAAACTTAGGAGGGGGACATTGTCCTTTCCGGTTTGGGAACAAGTGGTTGCTTCATCCTGATTTATAAAAAAGGTACAACTGTGGTGGGAAGAAGACCAAATGGACTTCAGGTGGAAAGGATATATGCTTTATAAAAAGACTACAGGCTCTGAAAGCTAAAACAAAGCCTAGAATGAGGAATTTGGAAGAGTGGAAGAAAGAAATGATAGGATTGCCAACAGGACTCGAGAAATTGATGTAGGTGAGCTGTGAGGCAGAGAGAAGGTTGACAGTACAAGAGAGGGAAGATCGTTAAAAGTTGAAATAGGAATTGGAGGAAATCATTAGGAAAAAGGAGGTAAGTTGGAGACAAAAAGCTATATATAAATGGATGAAGGAGGGAGATGGGAGTACAAAATATTTTCATACCCTGGCTAATGGAAGAAGAAAAAGAATATACTATGGAAAGACTGGATTGGAATGGACAATGGAGAAGTGATTACAAGAGAGAAGGAAATAGCAAGAGCCTTTGTGGAACACTTCAAATCCATTTATGACGGCCCAAAAAGAGAGAGAACTTCCTAACTTTGATGGGCAACCGGGTAACAGAGATCTAATGGCTGCACTAGGAAAGAATTTTGAGATCCAAGAAAAAATGTTGTTTTCTCAATGGAAAGATCTAATGCCCCAAGCACAAATGGTTTCACAATGGCCTTCTACCAAGGCTGTTGGGACATTATAGGTGGTGACTTATTGGAGGTTTTCGCTGAGTTCTTTGAGAGAGGTAAGATCAATTTAGGAACCAATGCTACATTTATAGCTTTGATTCCTAAAATGGCAAATGCAAGTCAGCCAAAGGATTTTAGGCCCATAAGCCTAATTGGTAGTATGTATAAGGTAATCTCAAAGGTTTTACCAGAGAGAATCAAAAAGGTGCTACCATCCCCGATTCCCCAAACCAAGGAGCATTTATACCAAGAAAACAAATTATTGATTAGATCCTTTTTTTTTATAAATGAGAATAGATTTTATTAATTCTGAAGGTATAAGCATTACAAGCATCCCTTAGAAAGGCACAAGATGCTACCTCTCTATAAACAAAAACAGAATATAAAATATTACAAGAATATTACAGGTGAGCCCAAAACAAAGATTGTCTATCAACCCCTTGTTTGGCTAGAGAATCAGCAAACCATTAGCCGATCTCCTCACCCATTCTATCCTCAAATTCATATCCTTGGTGATCCATAAAAACTTTTTTATCTCATCCTTGTAACACCATATTACAGAATCTGAATCATTTAACCAACCCACCACCAATTTTGAGTCCCCTTCAATCACCAAATTGGTTGTGTTCAGTTCATTAGCAATTTGTGCTCCTTGTAAGGCAGCAACCAATTCTGCCTTGAGAGAGTCCCCAATCCCTACTGGGCTAGAAAACAAGGCTAACAGTTTGCCATCCATGTCTCTCACACCACCTCCAAGGTTAAGCGTGCTCTGATTTCCCTTGTTATGAATTATTGAACTAGAGTAACAAAATATTTGCATTGCATATATTCTGTTTTAGTCCTACTTATTTAAAACCTATTGTTTCTAAGGCATTTGTCCATAAGCTCAATGTTCCATTTAGTCCCTCTCTAATTCCATTTAGTCCCTCTCTAATTTCATCAATTAATATTATATCCTGATGAAGGTTGATTGAAGCGGTAGTTTTTGCCTTTTTATGTGGTGTTTGTTCCAGATAGTCCATTACTAAAAAGTATCGTTTGGTATGCCTGCTCCTTTTGGGTTTCTCTGCCTGTATTTTTCGCCCTTTTCTTTTGCTTTCCTTACTTCATTACCTTGGTAGTCTTTACTTCTCATTCATAGAAATATTTTGTTATTGGTAAAAAATCACTGAAAGTAAGAAACTTAAAAACAATATAGCCAAAGGGCTGCAAGAACCTGGAACCCTTCAATATGTTTTGAAGCCTCTGAAAGGAAAAGAACTTTGGATCTTTAATGGCAAGAGGTTCACAAAGCTTATCTAGATTGGAAAAGTGGAGCTATTGATCTATGTTTGGTTGTCTATTTTGGTGGATTTAATGATTTAAATTTCTACTAGTGTTATAACAACTAGCATGATGCTGTGTATTCATCATTTCCAAAGGATTAGATGCACGTGTTGTACATAAGCAATAGCTTTTTTATAGGAAACGGTAACTTTCATTAATTAGAAAAACAGAATTACAAACTGTCACTTACAGAAGGAAAAGGCGACCCCTGAACAAAAACCAAGTTACAGTACAGCCCAAAACAAAGACTCTCTATTCACCCCTTGCTTTGCTAGTAAGTCAGCTAAAGCATTTGCTGACCTCCTAGTCCAATTAACAACTACACCCAGCTCCCTGTCTCAATCATTCCATTTCTATCATAACACACATTCCATTCCATTTCTATCACTACTAAGCTTACACCTAATTTCTAATTTCACAATTACAAGTTAGTATCAAATGCCTTGTTAATTTTAGCATAATTCAGACTCAATGTTATTAATTAATATTTGACTAACTTGTAATTGTGATTACCATTTCTGTTGAGTGATTACCATTTCACTAAATATGACATTTCTGTTGAGTGATTACCATTTCACTAAATATGACATTTCTATTGAGTGATTACCATTTCACTAAATATGATTCCGTTGGGTGGCAATGCCATCATGGGGAGCCTCAGGGGGATTAATAACAATGTGGAGGAATGAGATTCTAAATCCACTAGAGGAATTGGTTGACCAGTACTCAATATCTATTAAATTTAAGAACTTGGGGGATGACTTTACTTGGGTGCTTTCAAACGTCTACAAGCCTAATAGGTATAGAGAAAGAAGTCATTTCTGGGAGGAGCTTTATGATATTAAAGAATTGTGGGACGGACCTTGGTGTCTAGGAGGGGATTTTAATGTGATAAGATTCACAAGTGAGACAAACAATCCCAATC